TGGGGGAGGGGCAAAATGAGCAACCTATTGCCCATTTTTGTTCATTTCTGCCCTCCCCAGCCCCCAGGAGCCCTCTGGAAGCTTCCTAGAGGCTATGCACGGCCATTTTGGTGAAGGGGCGGGGTTTTGGGAGGCAAAAATGCTGTATTCAGTGTATAAGATGCACCCAGATTTTCAGCCTCTTTTTTGAGGGGAAAAGGTTCGTCTTATACTCCGAAAAATAGGGTAAGTACAGGGCCCCTGCAGAGGCTCAGGGAGGGGAAAAAATGGGTCTCCTGGAAGTTCCAGAAAGCCAGAAACAGGCCCATTTCTGGCTTCCGGAGTTTTTCCCCTCCCAGAAGCTTGAGGAAAGTTTCCAGAACCTGGGAAAGGCAACCCCCCACCCTAGTGCAGGAGGCTGACTAGGCCATGCCCACCATGGCCACACCCACCCAGCAACCAGGCAGAGAACCCGTTGCTGAAACTTTTGAAGCCCACCCCTGCTTCCAATGGTATTTTGCCTTGCCTGTGGCAATACTTTTTCTCTGTTTAAGTAAAGAAGCAATGACCCCAATGGTTCACGGGTTGTCTAGTGAAATAATTACAAATTATTTGGACATGTGATAAATAAGATCATTAGGACATTCATGAAACGTAGGCAAAATGCAGCAGTGGTCGACGCTAAATATTAAACAATAAATCCAGACGGTTGTGTGTAGGTGTCTGTGCTGCCTCTGCTATTTAACACAGGAGGAGAGAGAGCATATAATGGAACATGGAGCCTCATGTACAAAACAACAACAACAACAACAACAAAAGAAGAACCTTCTTACCTTCTGTATGTACTGCAGACACGTACGTCCAGTTGTACCTCTTGACAATGTCCACCATAGCACGGGCCTGCTGTGCGTCCGAAGGCACCACCCGCATGAAATACTTAAATAAAGTCTTGTCGCTCAAGTCCATGCTTGTGGCCGAGTAGGCAATCTGAGGTATGTTGAAAAGCTGCAACAGATTTTGGACCTGGATTGCCACGGAACTGGACCCGGGACCTATCACACCGACAATGGGCTTCTTAGAGCGGTAGAGAGACGTAGAGCCATCGACACACTTCATCAGCCCTTCTTCTTCTTCCGCCGAGATGAGGGAATCGCGGATGAATTCAATGCTCTGCTCAAGCGCAACTGCCGAATGCCAGCACGAGTCCCGTATTTCGCAACCCAAGGTGATGTTGGGTAACAGAGTTTGATTCTGGTTGATGCGATCGAGGGTGTGAAGCATTGCTTCCACTCTCTGGATCCCATATTGTTCTCTCACCTCTCCACATTTTCTCTCGTGGACCTTGTCAACGGATGGCTGATGATGGACTGAGAAGAGAGCCCCGATGATAATATCTCCCGGCATGTAGGCCACCACCCGTCTTTCATTGGCCTGAGCAGAAACCAAAGCACTAAAGTTCCCACAAACATTTTCCTTCAAGAACCAGAGAAGAAGCAGAAAGAGCATTTTAGGGAGCTGTTTAAGCCAGAATTGGAAGCATGATGAGATGACAAAGGGTGACCCTTCTTTTCTCTCTTTTTTTAAAAGCAATCAGCGAGTCTTTGTAGGAATCGAAGCCATCGAGCTGAGGAGCAACTGGGTGTTTCCAAGCATCTTCTAGACTATGGCCAACATCTTCTCATTTGCTCAGAAGGTAGGAAGGATGCAATCATAATCTTCAAAATCTTTAAGAAAAAGATGAAGGAAAAGGTTATTTTTTTTAAAAAAAATAAATGAGCACTTATAAACTTGAAACACCTCAACAGCTATTCTAGACAGAGCATCAGCTTGTTTTGATGCTTACTGGAATATCAATAGCAATATAGCAATAGCAGTTAGACTTATATACCGCTTCATAGGGCTTTCAGCCCTCTCTAAGCGGTTTACA